TATATATATATACATATATATATACATATACATATGTGTGTGTGTGTGTTAGGGGTGGGTATCTCCTGAAGTTAGAATGAGCAGCTTTTCAATGAGAATTTAATGAAACTTCCTTCTCCACCCCAAGACCCTAAGAAAAGCACTGTCCCCTCTAAGAAGGCAGTGAACAGAAAGGTACAAGATTCTGAAGCAGGATTACAATCAGAAGGATTTAGCTTTGGGCTCAATTAACAACCCGGCTGGTTTCTTAGCTCTTTGGTGGCAATATCACTCCTCCTAACACTTAAATTGTTTGTGAGGCAGAAGTTCAAGATGGCCCCTCATCGCAACATTGCTGACTTAGGGTTGGGTCTACACCATCTACTCTAGCATCTCTATGCAGATATGTCCACCTTTCCCCACCTTTCAACGGTGGAAATACATTTCAGTTGCAACTTGTTCTTTCTCATCTGAGAGTGCCAAAATTAAGCATCCTCTAGTTTCTAATTAAAAAACATTTACAAAGTAACACATGTGCAAGATCTCCTCATAAGTCATTGAACATAAAACTTACAGCTCACTCCACACTCTGCTCCAGCTCCCTGTACCAAATTGCATGAGTCAGCTTGTTGGAATGGGCTGTTTCACACTTTGTCTTAATACAATGCCATCTATCAAGTCCGCCAAGGAAGGAAGGATAGTCTCTTTTTTTGTTTTACAAGCTTTAATTAGCTATCAACTTCACAACTCTTGTAAATAAATCTATCTTCCTGTTTTCAACTGAAAAATAAACATATTCATCAGAAGAAAAATTAAAACACTACAAATGGCTCTTTCTTCCAAGGTCTGTCAAGGCCTGGCCTCAGAGGACCTCCTGGATGGCCAGGCTTGAAAGGAAGTAAAGGGGAGAGAGGACCCCCTGGAAAAGGCACTGTGGGCCCTCCTGGACCCCTGGGCTGCCCGGGTTCACCAGGTCCACCAGGCCCACCAGGACCTCCAGGACTTCCAGGTAAAGATATAAAATGGAGTATTTAGGAGTCCATTGCCCTATGGCAGGTGCCACAGAACTTCCTGAGGACAATCACATCAAAGCCATCTAAACTCAGACATGGTCACGTACCTGTGTACAACCTAGAAAATGTAAATAAAACAATACATCTTTGTAAGCACACATCTTCTCTTGTAGAGAAACTTCTAAAGGTGCAGCTTTCACCAGAAGGATGTAAGAAATGCATGTAAAATTATATGTATATCCAAAAAGCAAATAAAATTAACTCTGTGTGTGTGTGTGTGTGTGTGTGTGTGTGTGTGTGTATTTAGTGGTAGTGTTACTATTGTTTTGTGTTGTGTCAGTGTTGATTGTTGAACCCAGGGCCTCACGCATCATGTGTCAGACCAGCACTCTAACCACTGATATACACAGACAAAAAACTGATCTCTGACGGTGTCTTTTCTTAGGTAACATTGTTTTTCAACCGGGACCACCTGGTGATCATGGAGTGCCAGGCAATATTGGACCTCCAGGAGACCCAGGAATTGGCGGGCCGAAAGGTTTGTTCAAACCTAGTGGTATGCTGTTTAAAAAACAAACAAACAAAAAAATCCACTTCCATCACGGCTTCACCAATTTTTTTCCCCTCTCCAAGCAGCAGTGATCTCTCAAGTAGTCAGAGAATTACCTCTTTTCCAGCCAGTTACCTAGAAGTATCCATTTATCTGTAAGTCAGTAATTCAGTTAGCATGCTAAGCCTGAAGTGAGTCCATCCTAGGTGCACAGGGAGAAATCGAAACAGTAGATGCTTTATGTGTAGGTTCTTCAACTTTCCTCTCTCAAAGACTCATAACTCACAAGAGAACATACACAGAAATGTAAATTAATACCGGGATTAGTTTCACAACATTAAAAAATGTTTCAGTAAATACGGTGGGTGGGGAATACCTGTCCTTTCCGGCCACTCTGTGTGGCTTGGAATCCGATGCCTGCGCTGTCCCGTTGCAGGAGAACCAGGCCTTCCGTGCACAGAGGTCCATTGCATCCCAGGGCCCCCTGGTCTCCCCGGATTTCCAGGACTAGATGGTGTCAAAGGTATCCCAGGTATGGACACTTTGTGTGAAAATTTGCAGCTTTGTGGGGACAGAAAAGTAAACAAATTGGGACCTTGGAAAGGGTGTTAGGTTGCCTGAGTGGCATAATGATCTTAAAGGAAGAGTTCTGAAGTCACTGTGTTACCACGAAGTCAGTCAAAATCTCTGACATCTTTTTTCCAGTTCCATTTGGGTAACTGAGTGCTTAATGAAGCCTCCCTCCCTGGGAATTGTAAAGGGAGTCCTGCTGGGGACCCACAGAAGAAGCAAGGGACCCCTTTGCAAACACAGAGTCCTTCTCGGTCAGTCCCACTTTTGAGAGAGTTGATGACACCCGCAGTATTTGCTTGTCCTGTAAGGCATGAGGGCGGTAAAAATTAGCAGCCATGCCCACAGCTGTAGGGGTGGTGCCCGCTGAAGGGCGGGCACACTTGAGAAGCCTGCCAGGTACTCGGCTCCAGCTGCTTATACTCCAGCATTCTAAGTTATTTTTCATAACAAAGATTTTTATATAAAAGCTTGAATTATTTTATTTAGCATTAGGTTAATTTCTAACTCAAAAATTTGCTGGATCAATTTTTTAAGGGGAAAACATCATTGGCTATGCTGTCTTTTCATGTCGGGGACAGACAGGAGAATCGCACATTTGGAGGGCTGTTTATCTGAGCACACCTGCTTAGCATTCATGACAGTGGCTAAAGGCTGAAAACATAGCTTACATGGTGAAAAACAGCAGTTAGTTAAAAAGGAAAAAAAATAGCCTAGCCAGATAATAGTCAAAAATGTTTTGATGTGAATCTCGACATCTATACTTATTGACAGGTTGACAGGTATCTTGTATGATTCTAAAGATTTACAATATATTCTAAAATTGAGCAAATGCTAACTTTGTCATGGTAGATTCACAGTTTTTATTTTCTTCTGTATAATTTTCTTTCAGTGAGCATATATTATTTTTACTGTGAGAAAAGTAAATATATAATATATATATGCCCTTAAAATTGCAAGGTTGAGAGGGCTGGGAAGCTGGGATCTACGTGTTCCGGTTGACCACTTTGCCTACATGGACAGGATAGGAATTCTTTTTTTGGTCTTCAGCAGGAAATGCTTTGTCTTCTCCGTACATGGCACTGCTCTGCTCAACAGATCGTAATCAATTGCTTTGCAGGAGGACGAGGTGCACCTGGCATGAAAGGAAACCCGGGGTCCCCCGGAAGCCCAGGTCTCCCAGGATTTGCAGTAAGATCTCATGGTTATAAACTTTAGTTTCAGCTCGTAAGGCTGAGTTCTCTAGAAATATGACTGCATCCCACATGGGTCCGCAGGGAATGGAAAAGTGTAGGTTTTGAACTCAGGAAACGGAAGGTGCGGTCACAGGTGCTTGTTGAGTAAATGAGTGAACTGGTGAATTTATTCATGCACACGTCATTTTTAGTGGTGGCGGAGACAGAAATTAGATCGCTGCCTGGGGCTGAGTGTGGAAACCGGGATTGATGATAGATGGATTCGAGGTTATCTGTGGGCGCAATGAAGATGATTTAATGCTGATTATGGTTAAAATTATTAAATTTTAGTGATATATAATCACATATACATATCTACATATTTAGGTATATATATATACATACTTGTAAAGAATCAATTTTATGGTATGTAGCTTATACCTCAATATATCTTTATATGCCTTCATATCTCAGTATAGTTGTTACAGCTACAGATCATCTGTCATTTTACTGTTATGTATAACCCTGTTATTAATTCTATTTATTATATAATGAGCCAGAAAGTTATATTTGATAACTAAGAGATGCATTTTAGAATTTATCAACACTCGAACATAGTCTGAATTCTGATGATGCTATGGCAGATAGAATTTCTACCACTATGTCAATGAAGTAATTATTGTTTTAATCCCAATGACTTATAATGTCTAGGTGGCTTCTTTTTTCATTTTGGGAAGTTAAAAAGTAAAACAAAATAAATAAAATGTTTGGCATGGTATTTGTGGCACACAAAAAAGTTCATGTTAACAGCTAAATTTGGTGACTTATACCTGCAATCCTAACACTGGATACTGAGACAGGATTGCTGGGTCTTCCATGTCAGCTTGTCCACAGTTTGAGACTCTTTCTTTAAAACCACTCCTCCCCACCTCCACCAAAAGGAATGTATGCGGAAAGATATCCATGTTCTAGTATTTTCCTCTAAAGCAGAAGAGACACTCAGAGACCAAGGCAGGCACATGGGCGGTCCCTGATACAGGCACTGGGCTGTCTACCCTTCAGATAGCAGCATCACGGGTCTTTGTGTACAATAACTAATCAACCTCTAACATATGTATTTAATAGTATGTGTATATTAGGTGTTTTATATAAACATACAACTACATATGTCTGTCAGCATATAAATATTAAATGTGTTTTGGGGAAAATCCATGTTTATTAAATTTGAAAAGTTCTTCTTGAGAATGTTTTTACAACTGACCAAGGACAGTTCTACCAGAACAGAAGGCTGACTCCCTTTTGTGTCACCACAGGGATTCCCAGGGGACCAAGGGCACCCAGGACTGAAAGGAAGCAAAGGTGAAACACCTCTACCCTGGGGGCAAATGGGTGACCCAGGTGAACCTGGACTCAGAGGCCTGCCAGGGAGAAAGGGCTTCGATGGAATTCCTGGAAGTCCAGGAGCAAAGGGATCGCCAGGACCTAGAGGTGAACCGGTTCGTATTTAGAATTTTTTTTTTAATTTTCCACTCTGTAGTAAAATGCTCAGAATCCAGGAGATAATGTGATCACCAAAATTACGTAGTTCTTCACTCTAGCCACAAAATAAGACGTCTTCAAAATAGCAGTAATAACCCAAGCAGATATTCATAGTATTTGGAAAAAATGAGCTCCTTTCAATGGCTTAGCCCAACTCAAACTCTATGCTGATAACAACACTGGTTCACACCCTGTATCTCAATATGTGGGTCGAATGCATTTGTAGAAAAACTCCAAAAAATGGGGATAAGATGTGGCTCAGTTGGCAGAACACTTCCACACACAGAGCAAGTGCTGGATTTAATCCTCAACGTGGAATAAATGGGACAGGAGTGCCCATATCTGTAATCCAGGCTGGAGGAAGTCATAGCAGAAGTTCAAGGTCATTCTTAGTTACATAGAAAGTTCTAGGCCAACTTGGGCCATGTGAGATCCAGTCTCCAAAAATAAGGAGAGGAGCTGAACTGGAAAGGAAGAAGAGAAAAGGAAAAAATTTACTAGTAAAGGAAATTTTTAGCAAAGATTTTTGGGATTGTTCTTATTCTTCTACTTAAATGCATACAAGATACAATATTCAGGGATATATTAGTCAAATGAAGAGATAAAATGTCTAAAACATTTCAGTTCATGTAAAGGTTATTCTTTTCCAAGGATAGAATTTCTCACACATTCAACTGGAAAGGTCATGGGGTGCCCCACAATGTACCTATGAGAAGTTTGCCCAAGTGAATCTACAAAAGGCCAGCTTTTCCAATTTTCCAAAAGGTTAATCAGATTTATTCAATACATAGGATCTCAAGTGGGACAGTGGGGGAAACTTGGTAAGCAAGTTTGAAGATACACTCACATATATACACATGTGCATCTATGTGCCTGCGCGCGCGCCCGCACACACACACGCACGCACACACACACACACACACACACACACACACGCTCATCAGTCATTTACAGATCTTCTTAACAAGGTGAATCCATCTCGCCGGAATGTAGATACTGTAGGCAGTTTTTCCTGGTGCATCTGCAGGACCAGGGATTCCCAGACAGCCTACGTGGTCCCCTGTTTGCGCTTGAACTACCCTGCGGTAAGGAAATACTGAATTGAGACACTGCCGAACATGTTCCCGTTGTCACAGGCCCTGAGTGGAAGGAAAGGGGACCAGGGACCTCCAGGGGCTCCTGGATCACCTGGACCTCCGGGACCCCCAGGACCAGCTGGACCACCGGGCTATGGACCTCGAGGAGAAACAGGTCCAAAGGGAACGCAAGGAGTTCCTGGAGCTCCGGGACCACCTGGAGAAGCCGGTTGGTTAGTTTTTTCCAGTCTTGCTTTCCTGCGAAGTGGGGGATGGTTCTCATAGCCTACAAGGCTCTTTCAGAACTAATGAACATATACATAAATCTGTTCCTGGAAAGTCTTTCTCCTCGGAGATTGGGAAAGACGTGACAGAGAAAATCCATTTCCCCTGTAACAGGAAGTTCATCTGAAACTTCCTATAACCATTGCTTACTATGACTGATATCAATACACTTTCCAAGGGTTGGGTAGAATTCAACTACAAGACATGAGGGGCAAAAAGCAAAATATAAATAACTAACTAAGTAAATTAAATTAGAACAAATTGATCTGAAGAAGTGTTTTCCCTTGTATCTGTGACTCCAGGTTACAAACCAAACATCAAAACAGCTAAGATATGTGAAAATCATCGATAATAATTTTAAAGCCCATGTGACTTTGGCGTCCCACAGGTATTGGATAGGGCCCTACTGTGGAGAGTTTTCAACAAGTCATGCCTGTGTGGTATTTATCACTTCAGTGAGCACTTAAACAGTGATTGATTGGAAACCCATGATGTCCAAATCATCTTTATCAAGATTCGGGTACCACTCCATAGTGTTCATATGTCATCAAATGAATGTATATTTTATCCACATGTATGTAAAGCTTATTTAATGACATTTATTTTTTTTTAAACTTGGAGACTGTTGTTCTCATTCAGGGATTTAGCATACTACATGGAAGCCCAAACCTAGCCCATCAGTGAATTTCGTGTGGTCCAAAGTTAAGAAGGGTTCCTATAGTTTTTTTTAGCAACGGAAGAAGATCTTAATAACATTCTAGTACAAATTAAAATTATAGAATCCAAATTACAGTGGTATTACAAGATTATTGGGACTTAGCCACACTTCTGTGTTCTTGGCAGCTACTGAACAATGACCAGTGATCTATTACAATATAGCTGTAATAGATCAGAACTACAAAACCCAAATTACTTACTGCCTGGACCTTTATATAGTCTATTGACTCTTGCTTAATCCTTCATCCAACCCTCTTCTGTTCTTTCTAAATATGAATGTATCAAATTCTCCCATCATGTTTTTATAGTTTTGAATGAAGCCAATTTTTTTATTATTATTAACGTTGATGGTGAGAAGACTAATCACAAACATGGTTTAACACTGGCCAGTATTTTCAGAGAATTCCCTTAAATATTTACCTGCAAGGTGATCATTATTTCCACAGCGACATAGAAGGAACTTTTCAAAGAGGTTAAGAAATAGGTCCATGCCCACGGAGCTTGCAAACAGCAGTGCCAAGCTTCAAATCCGGGCCTCACAAGCCGAGTCACACTTGTTGTTTTGTTCAGTAGACCTCACTAGCTTTCCGTGAACACCAGCCATTCGATAAACTGGTACCCTGCCACTATTCTCCAACTTCACTCCTCCTATCAATTCCTGGAGCAAGTAAGCTTTCATTTCATAGGCCAGCCTGCTGGGCTATCGTATTTCTTTTTGTTAATAATTTATTTATTTTTATTTGCATTGGTGTTTTAACTGCTGTCATGTCTATGTGAGGGTGTCAGATCTTGAAGTGACAGACAGTGTGACCTGCCATGAGGGTGCTGGGAATTGAACCCAGGCCCCCCTGGATGAGCAGTCCTGACTTTAACAGCTGAACTATCTCTCCAGCTCCCCCTGCAGGGTTATTAAGTAAAGCAAGGCTCAATGAATATTTGCAGATCAACTAGAAAAGTTTCTGCAGACTGGTCACCCCTGAACTACTTTTGAAACCCACAGAAACAGGGCTTGGTTTTATTTTCCTTGGGATGTGTTTAAATTCCTTCTTAATAGTTCCCACAGTTGCAAAAACATACTTTAATACACAACCCAATATTACAATCATGTCTTTTTCTTAAGGTCTTAAAGGAGAACCGGGCATATCAACACCAGTTCCAGGTCCCCCAGGACCTCCAGGGCCCCCTGGGCAGGCCGGTCGCCGAGGTCTACCTGGTGAGTACCCCTCTTGACAAACACAGTCCATGACATTAGATGGCGCTCCCACTTTCCTGGGAAAATACCACTCCCATTTTAAAGAAAAGAAAATACATTCATTGGATCTGAAAGAGACTACAGGTGGGAACCATTCTGAAAAGCAAGCAGGCAGGGGGCTTTCTAATGTCCTTTGAGGTTATCCACAGGCTCCCTGGTGCTTCTGAAGCAACAGTTCCAAAAGATAACGGATACAGTTGCTTACAGAGGTTATAGAGCAGAGTGATATGGCTTCTGCTGGGAGAGCAAGCAGCGCCTATCCCACGAATCAGTGTGTTTCCCGCAGCAACTTTATTTGAAACTGATTTACCTACAAAAGTATTTGAAATTTAATTTTGATTTATAGAGGAAGACATATCACTCAAGATATTTAGGATCTTCTTAAATTATTAAATTATATCATTTGTTTGTTTGTTTATTGGTTTTTCAAGATATGGTTTCTCTGTGTAACAGCCCTGGCTGTCCTGGAACCCGCTTTCTAGACCAGGCTGGCCTTGAACTCACAGGGATCACCTTCTTCTGCCTCCCAAGGCTGGGATTAAAGGCATGTGCCTCCACTGTCCTGGAAAGTTACATTTTTAAAATTTATAGCAGTTCCTGACCTCTAGCCCACTGGATAGGAAAGAAAGGCTGATGTTACCTTAAAACGTATTTCACAATTTCCAGAAAGCGCTGGGAGGACACAGAGAACACAGACATTTCTTTAGGAAAACAAATGAAGGAAATTCACTGATGTGTGCATGTATGTGTTTTTAAGGTTTGCCTGGACCTGTGGGAATATGTGAGCCTGGTCTTCCTGGACCTGATGGTGAACCAGGGCTCCCAGGAATTGGACTTCCTGGGCCTCCAGGACCTAAAGGTAAATTAAAAACTGTGGAATATAAGGTCCTCTGTGGATGCTTTGAAGCTATAACCATGAATAAAATAGGAAACACACCATCTGTGGCGCAAACGATGCTGCCCAAGACTCTTCAGAAGTCTTAGGACGGTATCAGGTGAAAAGACAGAATTCGCATTGGGCCAGGCACCATATTAATCATATTTTTTCTTTCTGCACTTTAACATATTTATTTTGTGTGCCATGGGGATAGGGAGGACATGTGGAAGTTAGAGGACAGTTGCCAGACTCCATTCTCTCTTTCCGCCATGCGGATCGCAGGGCTGGAACTCAGGTCAGCGGGCTTAGCAGTGGAAAACTCTGTATGCTGAGCCATCGTCACACAGGCCCGCCAATCATGCTTTCTAAAAGAGCACAGAAAACTAGCAAAAAACAAAAACCTTGGAAGGTAATTCTCTAAAATGGTAATAGCAATTCTTTCTAGTCATAAGAATTTTTTATTTAACTCTGCCCTTCTTGGGTTTATGTATTTCTTGAATTCCACACAGTTTTAAATAAGAGATTAAATACTAATCTCACATTGGCCTGAGGCTATATGGTATAGCAGTAGAGTGTGTGTTTAGCGTGAATAAGGCTCTGAATTCATTCCATAGCGTCAAACATAATAAAACCCTAGGCTTCCCTGTGAGCATTAAAACAATTAGAGTATATATTCTGCTTTAAGGAAAGTTGCCAGGGCTGGAGAGATGGCTGAGCAGGTATAAGTAGATACTGCTCTTACAGAGTCCTGGAGTTTGATACCCAGAACCTGGGTCAGACATCTCACACTTGCCTGTACCTGTAACCAGGGGGGACCCTGGTGCCTCTGGTCTCTGTAGGCGTTGGCACTCATACTGACAGGCCCACATACATAAACCTAATTTTAAGATGATAAAATAAATCTCTTTGACAAGAAAAACGAAGGAAACTGTTTTCATCAAAACAGAGACATTCCAACAACTCTAGCTGCTTATACTGAATAATAATTTGAGCAGTGCCTCTGATAAGCACATCAGACAAAATCCAGGCCAGGATCCGTTCATAAAATCCTCAGGCACTGGACTATTATGTAGAACTGTAGGCTTTATGATACCTTTGTGTTTGTTCACAACTGCCTAAATTGTTTTCTAAAATACAATTGTTTTGATATTTTACCTCTTGTTAATACGTCATTGTTGATTATTGCACATCAATTCGACCCATGTAAGGTAACACTTAGCAAATGGAAATCCAACCCCCGAAGCAGGTTTGATTTTAATTTCACGGATTTCTTCCTTCATGAACTAATGGAGCCTGGCCCATATTTTGCCTAGTCCTTCCTGGGTCTTCCATTAACAACCTGCATGCTAATTTTGCAACTCTGGATCCACTCTCTGGACAAATGCAGGAAACTCTGGAAAGCAGAGCTAGCCAAAGAGCTAGAGGACCTCTGTACTGTGGGTGTATCCACTGGCCCTGGCTCCATAACTCTGCACTGGAGTAGTTGAGGTTTAAGAATTTTCTTTTTCTTTTTTCTTATTGAAACAACTTTCATAGCCAAGGCAATTTGACTTGGAACTCAGTCTTTTGTTTTGGTTTTTATTTTTGAATTGCTAAATTATCCATTGGTTTTATCATCATCCAAACATTCATACAAGCATCTCTCTACCTGGATGCCTCATCACTGTATTTGATAAAGGAAATATTGCTCACAAACTTTCTATGAGGCTAATCTCCAATATTTACTGCTTGTGTTTTGTGTTTTTTTTTTTTATAGGAGATCAAGGTTTCCCAGGAACAAAAGGATCACCTGGTTGTCCTGGGGAACCGGGAAAGCCAGGCCGTCCTGGAGAACCAGGCCACCCAGGAGCCAAGGTCTGAAGTAACTGAAACACTGAGTTCAGGGTGGGCCAATTACAATCAGTAGTTGAAATGCCCTTATCAGACAAGACACTTGGATTTAGAAATTCTCAGTATATTTATAAATAAAGATACTAATTTTCCAGAATATTTGTAGATATTAGATTTTAAGTCCCTGTGGAAACTCACATATCTATTCCTTTATTAATGACTTCATAAACATTCAGAGTATATAGGGATGCTCACATTTTCTTCAGTGGATATGGACCGCATATTCCTGAAGTGGTATTTTGCGGCGAGGTCATTGTCTAAAGTTGGAAGGGAAATATTTGCTGAACTGTGGTCTCTTTGCAAACAAACTCGGAGCACCCCTAGCAAGCAGAACTGAGAAGCACTCCACTGGGGACACTAACCTAATGTCTCTGCTGCAGGGAGAACCAGCACTGGCCAAGCCCGGGGAACCCGGAAAGCCTGGCTTCCCAGGAGAAAGAGGCAATCCTGGGGAAAGTGGAGAAATCGGACTCCCGGGGCCTCCAGGCCTCCCTGGACCTCCAGGAAAGGATGGACCTGATGGGCCTCCAGGTACAAGGCCAAGTGTGATGACCTTTCTCCTCAGTGAGCTCCACTAGGTGCTCTAGGGGGCTCTAAGCACTTCCATCTCCGTGAATAAATCAGTGAAAAAGCCTAGTTCTTTTTCCATTCAGGTTGGCTGTTCTATGTTCCTCCCCTCCTAACTTCTTCCTTTTTTCATGAGTGTCCTCTATACAAGCATATTGATGGTATCAGATAGAGGTGTGGTTTGGCAAGGTGAAGTCACAGAAGGATGGGGCCTTGGGCTCTGGCACCTGACCATACGCCTGGAATCTCCATTGCAGGAGACCCAGGACACCCTGGACCACCTGGAGCAAAAGGAACCCCAGGGAGGTGCACACAAGGACCCAAGGGTGTCCAAGGACTTCCGGGCCTAAATGGACTGAAAGGGCAACCAGGTACGAGGAAGGCCTCCCATTCAAGAACTAGGTAGGCAGATGGTTGGGTGGGTAGGTGGCCTCTGGCTCTGTCCTTTGGAAACTGTCCAGCAACAAGTCCTGACTGCTGTTCAGCAAGACATGTTCTTTTTGGAAATATGACCCTGGCTTTTATGGATATTCCAATTAGCAGTGGGTACTGGTTATACGAAGAGACTCAAACTTACCATAGTGAGTCAACTTGTTCCTTTTATGTAAGGAAATATAACCCCCACCAAGAGCTTAGATGATAAAGATAGACTGGCAGGTAGATGAGTCATTAATATATATTCATATGCATAGACTTTCTATCAGTGTTTTACTTTTAGAACTTCCTAAGTAAATAGCAGCTTTATGATGATGAAGGCAGAGAAAGCGTACACAAAGCTACCTGTTTAGCTGTAAACTAAAATATGTAGTTGATTACATCATAAGCAACATGAAACCAATATCTGTGAAAATATACCCAAGGGAATAAGGCTGCATGACCTATTGACTGGGAAACATACTCTACCTACTTGGGCCCTTTCAACCAGATCTGGTGCTGGCTCCTAGGAAAAGGTCTTTAGAACTGCGTGAGTGTCTGCAGACTAGCATTCTGCTTACCTGTTGCAGATAAATTCATGGCTAACACTTCATCGTTAGAGTGGGACCACTGTTTGCAGAACATATGGGAGTTCACTTCTTGGGAGCTGCTGTGTAGGCCTGCAGTGAAGGGCTGGTAAACGGCATAGAGCGCAGTCCTGGCATGCATCTGCGGCTCTCAGAAATAGACAAGAGCACTCTTCCTTGATCACTGCGTGACCCCCGAAATGGATAACATTAGAGCAATGGGGATTTGAGAGATTGTAAGGAGAGACAATAAACAAACACATAGATCAGTGTGCTCATTGCCCAACATCACATAGCTAAACAATCAACAATGAAATGCTATTGGAGGTGCTAGGGGAAGCATTTGTTTAAATCACTCATCCATCTCTTCATCTGTAGGTAGAAGAGGCGATACGGGGCCAAAGGGAGACCCTGGCATCCCAGGCTTGGACAGGTCAGGAATGCCTGGAGAACCCGGCCCACCAGGAATGCCAGGTCATCCAGGTGAGATAGGACCCCCTGGCTGGAAAGGACATCCAGGAGCTCCAGGATTCCCAGGGCTACCAGGTATTCTTTGTGCCATTTCTTCAAAGTCTTCTTCCACATTTTTCCCTCCAGGTGACTCTGCACACTGTATGCTTCTTCTCTCCGCTTAGCCTATTCTTTCTCCTAAATCATTTTAAGAGGGAAGGGTCAAGAGGCAGGAGAGTAGAATAGAACCATTACATTTTATAATTACCCAGAACATGGTTATGTTTGCTGTGGAGTAATTTTGTATATTATAAGATACCAACTAGGATTTTATTGAGGTTTTTGCATTTATATTTGCAAGGAACACTGGTCAGTGTTCTCGTGATGGCTCAATTCTGTTTGGACCAATGCTGGCCCTGTAGAGAACAGGCTGGAGTGAGTTCCCCTGCACAGTTTCCTGGAAAAGCTTATGAAGAACTGCTCCTCCTTGACCACATGACAGAGTTCACTAGCGAAGTCATCTGGGGCTGGACTCTTTTTGTGTGGAAAGTGTTTAAATTATCAGCTCAGGGTCTGGAGAGATTGCTCAGCAGTTAAGACCACTTGATGTTTTCCCAAGTGATCCACACCAGGTGGCTCGTGACCACCTGTAACTCCAGCTCCAGGGGATCTGCCATCCTCTTCTAGCCTCTCCAGTCACCTATACACATAATTATCAGTCCTCTGTAGTTTATGATGACTAGAAACAGCTCTAGTTGATTTTCTATTGTTCCGTGAGTCCATTTTGGTTCCATGTTGCTCTAGAAACTTGCCCATTGTATCTAAGTCATCTACAGTGTGGTCACAAGACTATTCCTGTTATATCTTCCTAATTCCTTTGAATGTGTGGTTGTTTAATTCTTCTTTCATTTGTAAAGAACATTCTGCTTCCTCGAGACATAAGGACATCACTGGTCTCCTCTTTGGCTTAACTGACACATTATGCTTCTGTTCCTATTATTGGGCTTCTATTGTGTACCAACTCTATTCTAGTTCACATCTCCCATAATAGGAGAGCAATAAGAACTACATTTAAAAACCAACTTTAGGATGATTAAGAACAAAGTATTATGAAATACATAAATGAAAACGTCAGAATAAAACTTTATCACTTAGTAAGCTACTTTTCAAAACAATGAAAAAAACTAATTTCACTAAATACTATGAAGGAACAAAACGAGAGGTGTACTGAGTAGGAAGTAATACGGCAGATGCACCAGAAGCTCAGGAAACACTGTTGTCAATTCTGGTGTGATTTGCTACAATGGCATACAGACCCAAGTTTTAAAAGACGTTGACCCATCTCTTACACAAACTTGGTTATTTTCCTATTTACAAAAATCACTCTCTCCCAACTTCTCTGTCTATAATATTTTGTTTTCTGGAATATTTTGTTTTTTCATAGCCTATACTTCATGGAGCATTTTGTGTTAATTTGTCCCCACAGGCGAGAAAGGAGAGCTTGGGATGATGGGTTATCCTGGAACCACTGGTCCTCCGGGGTCTCCTGGGAAACCAGGTTCACAGGGGCAGAGAGGTGAGTGCTGGTGTCTTTCTCGGTGGCATGAGGTATGGACAGTGCTTATCTACTTAGTTGCAAAATAAATGACATTTGTTCTTTAAGAATATAGTTGTGAGGGAAGAACATATTTGGGTTTTCTGTGTTCCCTTCTCCCATTGGCATGGAGCTGATTGTCACCCTGCAGACTACACCGGCACTGTTACGCTGTGTGTTTGGAAACACTGTCCAGTTCTCAGCACCGTTCACACTTCTGTTTTATCATGTGCTCTGCTAAATGTTGGTTTCTAATGCATTGCTTATGAAGGAAGGACCTGATGTGGTCACTTTTGTCTGTCAGGTAGCCTTGGAATCCCAGGAATAAAGGGGGAAAGAGGACACCCGGGAGCCAAAGGTGAACGAGGAGAGAAGGGAAATCCTGCATCTCTCCAAATTCCACATTTAAAGGGGTACAAAGGAGAACCGGGACTCAAAGGTAAAGAACTTTCTATGTCAAGAGTCGGCTAATTTGGGGGCTACAGAACTATCTGAGCAAACCTCTTTAGCTGACAAGTGAGGACGGTGTTGAGTCACCTGCTCAGTCACACAGCCATGTGGAGGCTGAGCATGAACAATACTATGTCGTTCACTGAACGCATTCACTTTTATTTTTGCATTCTGGTCTGCTGGTTTTAAATGGATGCTGGCTGATTTTTTTTCTTTTTTTTAAATTTATAGTTTAGTTTTTTTGTTCTTTTTTTATTTTATTTATTTATTTATTAAAGATTTCTGTCTCTTCCCCACCGCCGCCTCCCCTTTCCCTCCCCCTCCCTCGTCAGCCCAAAGAGCAATCAGGGTTC